CTCAGGGAAGGGTAGACAGCAGCCAGGACCTCTGATCCCCAGAGCAGGAGAGCTGGGCTGCCCCATCCCTGGCCACCAGGACAGCTCAGGTTACTTCCTCCTCTCCTCTTGCAGTGGACTATACCTCGTTTTCCTCACTTACATTTGCTTTGTCTTTTCTGAACACCGAGGTGGTGAGAGAAGTAGCCTCAAGTTAAAGATGCACAATTTAAAATCCCACCAAAGCTTTCAGGCTGCTCCCTGGGCCTGGGAGTCACAACCACCACCATTCCATGCACATCCCACACCAAAATGAGCAACATGAACCTCTGCAAGCAGAATAAAAGGACCACGATTCTCCCAAACCTACTTCCATATCAAGAAACAATTCTTAAAGCAAGAAAGTAATAGTGTTCCTCAAATTTAGAGTCTATGTAGCATTTTAAACCATCTAAATTAAAAATAAAGTGAAAAAATGTCTTCAAATAGAAAAAGTCTCATATTCAACCAATACCTATTATGTTAATCTGAATGAAAGCATGTAAAACAAAATGAGTGAAAAAAAACCAGAAAGTGAAAGCCTACTACTGGCAAACGGACCACTCCAGTTTTACCAAACTGAACAAAGTACAAAAATAAACAACAAAAATGATGACAAATGGAAAATACCATGCTTTACTATGTTTATAAATAATACTGTTACTCACCCAAGTACAACAGAGTTTACAACTGTTAATTTTTCATAGTGGCATTCCTTTAGGATAGTCCCAATAAGTTGATTCAGAGACTTCTGAAAACCAGAGACAGATGAGAGAATGAACCCAATGCCAAGCCTCCAGATAGGCTCTGGCCCAAAATTTGTTTATGACACACACTCCCATAAGAATCAGAAGTGTACTATGCAGAGGCCTTAAGTGTTGAAAGCTTGTGAGAGCCAAGGAGGGGAGCTGGGTGGGTTCTCATTCAGTCCCAAGCCCATTCCAGGAGGCATGCAGATCTGCCCATAAAGTCTCTCTGTCAAGTGGCCAGCCATCAAGCCATTCTGAGAGAGCACTAGGGAAGGCTGTTCTAACTGGCACACCATTTCCTAGTGCTTTTACTGTCTCTACTAGAAGTGATTCTCATCCCAAGTCTCAATCTTTCTGCTCCCATTTATTTTTTTTAAATATATTTTATTGATTTTTTACAGAGAGGAAGGGAGAGAGATAGTTAGAGATAGTTCTCTCTCATCGATAAGAGAGAAACATCAATCAGCTGCTTCCTGCACGCCTCCTACTGGGGATATGCCCGCAACCAAGGTACATGCCCTTGACCGGAATCGAACCTGGGACCCTTCAGTCTGCAGGCCTATGCTCTATCCATTGAGCCAAACCAGTCAGGGCTCTGCTTCCATTTAAATTCATTTCTTTTTTTTTTGTCCTTATTAAAATGAGGAGCAAGTTATTATCATCCTCCTTGGAACAATTAATTCCCATATGATGAATTTATTTAGTTTGAACAAGAAATCAGTCACTAAAACCATATTCAATTTCTTTTCTTCTTAAGTCTTATCTTTGTGCCTCTGATGATTTTTGTTCCTCTTATCCTGAGCTTTACCAATTTCTCCACTGCCCTTCTTGACCAGTAGACCAAAATACCACAGAGGCTCTAATGAGAACCTGACCTATGATGACCTCAGTGGAAGGATGCTGTCATATCAGGGACTGACGGCTTCTCCAGTCCATCTTCTAAACTTCTCTGAATCCTTTCAGAATCTTGTTTCCTGCAAACTTTAGGGAAGATTTTTTTTGTTTTTAGAGTAAGATGGGGGCTGTAAGTTGCCATCCTATATAATAAAAGGGTAATATGCAAATCGACCAAACAGCGGAATGACTGGTCAGTATGACGCACACTGACCACCAGGGGGCAGACGGTCAACGCAGGAGCTGCCCCCTGGTGGTCAGTGTGCTCCCACAGGGGGAGCACCACTCAGCCACAAGCTGGGCTGATGGCTGGCGAGCGCAGCAGCGGAGGCAGGAGCCTTTCCCGCCTTCTCCACGGCAGTGCTAAGGATGTCTGATTGTGGCTTAGGCCCGCTCCCTGTGGGCTCCCAGACTGTGAAAGGGCGCAGGCTGGGCTGAGGGACAACCCCCCACCCCCACCCCACCAGTGCACAAATGTAGTGCACTGGGCCTCTAGTTAACAATAAGTCTCAAATCTTTCCTGAGCTGCCCATCCCTTTCCTGAGACTGGTTCAATGGGTAGTCCAGCAGAGCTGCCTGGCCCCAAACTCACTTTCCTACCTGTTGATCACAGCATTGTAAAGCTTAATGAAGTAGAGATGCATTACATTTATCACTTGCCCTAGATCCACTCAAATCCATCACTATGTCACGGCAAGAAGTTAGATTGATCTGACAGGATTTGCTCTTTTTCACAAACCCATGTAAGTTATTACTCAGTACCCTCTGCTCTTCTAGCTGTTTGTTGATTGATTATCTGACGATCAGGTCAAGTATCTTCTCTGGAATCACAGTAAACTAACGGGTCTATAATTTCCAAGATCATTCGTATTCTCCTTTTAAAGATAAGCAAGACAGCAAATGCTTCTTCCTGAGTTCTCTAAAGCAACAGCTAATGCTTTGCTAATAATGAAGCAGGGCAGCCAATTCCTTAAGTGCCCTTGGAATCACATCATCAGGGTTCATTGATTCTGTAGATAATCTTTAATCAGGCCCAGATCCTGGTAAACAGCATGAAGCCCTAGCTCAGCCTAGATCTGAAAGGCCTTGGTACCTAAGTCTAGGAAGGAAGCTGGTGATACAGGTGATTTAAATGTGTACTGCATTATGTCTTCAGCATTGCAATAAATGAATAAAAAGAACTAAAAATAAAAAGAACAGTGCCCTTGAAAGAGAGATGAAAGGTGATACTGACAGACCAAACTGAGACATGAATCAGGCTTCACCTTCATCAACATTGGTAGGACCCTCTGTAGAACAAGGGAACAGAGCTACATAATTATCCGAGCTTATAATCTAACTGAAAAGTTCAGAAACTAACATTCATTGGCATGTGTCAGGAGGTAGAAAACAGTAAAGGCCATAAGGGAGGTACCAAGCAATCATGAGGGATAAACGCACATGCAATAGGGATGTGTTGGGTTTCAGACTCTATACCAGTAAGAGATATAATATGGTATATTAGAATATGGATCCTTGATTCTAGCCTAAGAGAATCTACATAACCAAAATCCCCACACACCATCCAGGCACACCAACCCCAGAATCACCAATAGTTCTGGGAGGCAGAGGAGAAGACCCTAGAGCAGGGGTCCTCAAACTTTTTAAACAGGGGCCAGTTCACTGTCCCTCAGACCGTTGGAGGGCCGGACTATAGTTTAAAAAAAACTATGAACAAATTCCTATGCACACTGCACATATCTTATTTTGAAGTAAAAAAACAAAACGGGAACAAATACAATATTTATATTTGCATGTGGCCCGCGGGCCGTAGTTTGAGGACCCCTGCCCTAGAGCATGGACTGGGAAAGTGAATGTGGCTCAGGTGGCTTCCCAGTTATATTTCCTTTTGTACAAAGTTCCTTCTCTTAGCACATGCTCCTCAATCTGCTCCTGTCTTCCCAAGCTTAAATAGGTCTGAGTCCAATGCCCCAAAGGCAGACACTACTTTAAGGGAGAATAGGAAAAAGAAAAGGAGAAATGGGAAGGAAAAAGGGTTCTGATATCTGCTTTATGGAAAACAATATATTATTCTAAAGAAAGAATACCTTCGGGGGGGGGGGGTATTAATCATGAGAAATGAAGCCAGTTTATCTTTGAATGGACCCCATTCCTCCCTGTCTCCCAAGTGCCTGATGCCACAGTCCTCCTTTCCCCCTTCTTACTATTCCCAGGATCAACATGTCTATGCATCCCGGAACTATACACCTGATAACCCAGGCTCAGTGGGAGGAATTACAGTCCTAGAGCCAGGCATAACCAAGGTCTCCACAATACAATGAACTTCCTTTCAGCTCCCAATCATTCCTCCAAAGCAAACACCAAGCACTCCAAGATCACATAGCATAGGTGCCCCTCTGCTGCTAATACAAGCTTCCTAGCAGCACTACCTTAAAAGGTCTCTTGATATAGTCAGTGGTTAAGGAAAAAAAAAAATGTTCCTTTCCAACAGACCAACAGCGGTACTTGTTCAGGTTATCTAATGCTGCATAACAAATCATCCCAAAGTTTAGTGGCTTAAAACATCAATAATCATTTATTATCTCTCACAATTCTGTAAGCCAGGAATTCAGGAGTGGCTCAGTTGGCCAGTCTGGCTCACAGTCTCTCCTGAGGTTGAAGTAAGATGTCCATTGGGGCTGGAGTTATCTAAAGGCTTGACTGGGGCTGTTGGATTCACTTCCAAGATAGCACCAAGAAACATGACTGGCAAGTTGGTACTGGCTTTTAGCTAAGAGCTTTAGTTCCTATATACACGTGCCTACCCAAAGGGCTGCTTGAATGTCCTCATAGCATGGTGGCTGGCTTTCAAGAACAAGTGATCCAAAAGAGCAAGTGGACTACAATGCTTTTTAGGAGTTAGCCACAGAATGTGGCTTCCACTATACTATATTGGTTATACAGAGCTAGCAGATTCAGTGTGGGCGGGGAACAACCAAGGATATGAATATTAAGAGGCAAGAATTGCGGGGGACCATCTTGGAGGCTGACTACCACAGTATTCCTCCAAGAACATGCAGTAGTAATGGAAGAGGAAAGGAGAGAGGAAGGGTGGGACAAAGGAAATATTTTGATTCCCAAAGGGTGAGGCCGAGAGAAATAATGTACCCAGTTTTCTCCAGAGACTGCCTTACCCTAGCATGCCTGAACCAAGTCCTGCTTCCTAGGCAGGAACTCCAGATTAGTAGCTAAAAGCCAGGAAGACAGGAGAAAGTTCCTCTGGGTCCCAGGAAGCAAGACTATCCTCCCCGCCCCCTCCTTCCCACCCCACCTTTTCTGAAGCAATGATGCAACAGTTACCTGAGGTTGAATCTGTGGCTTGTCACACGTGGCCTCAAAGTCCAGCACTAAAAAGTAGTGATACCTCTGGGGAGGGAAGGACACCATTGCTGCCATGGATGCGCCAAAGCCGTGGGCCGCCAGCTTTCTGGTGGATATGGAGCAGAACTCCGGAACACCACAGGGAGAAAATAAGTGGGAGCCCAGCACTTTTCTTGCTCTTGAAAGTAAATATGAAGAAAATCGAGCTGCTCCAGTCTGCAAAGGTGCTAGCATTGAACATCCAGAAGCATCTAAAACTTAGGGGAGGAAAAATTAAAAACAAAAAAAAACAAAAATAAAAAAACAGAGAGCCTGGGTTACTCCCCTCCCACTGTGGCCCTGTTCCATCTAGTCTTCAGGGATAGTCACACAATATGAACCACTCCCGTTTGCTTCTGAGCCCCTTTTCTTAATCACTGTATTCATTACTGAAGTTCAAGACCCTAATACTGGTCCCTGCCGCATTATGACAGCTTGGAGTTTCCCAGATCATTCTCAAAACAACACTGACCTTCATCTTTACATGGAGCTCTCATGTTCAAAAGAGAGGAGAGAAAAATTCTGTGCTCACTTCTCAGGTGGTGACAGCTAACATTAAAGCTAAGGTTCCCAAAGTAACATGAAGGGACCCAGTTGCACAATCAGTCCTGGGAGCTAAGTAGACTCAAAGGGACAGCTGAGAACACCCAATATTCTCTCCTCAGTTCCATTCCGAGCCATTTGCCCCTAGCTTTCCTGTCTGTATCTTGACATCTCTACATACCTTCCTCCCTTCTCCAACGTGAAAGCAAACAGCCAATCACAGGGAAGCTTGCTCATGATATTCTGCTGATTCCCCAGCCCCCACACCAGTAAGTGGCACCCTGGGAGAATGAAAACGCCTGCAGAGCACAGCTGGCAACAGCCTCAGGCCTTCCCATTTGCTGCCTTTAGAATCAGTCTTTCTACTAGAGGCCTTGAATGACTGCAGGACTTTCTTTAAATAGGGAAGAAAAAGAGAAAACCCAGATGTGGCAGTAATGGGAGCATTGCTAAAAATCTAGTAAAGTTTCTGAGTGAACATGTGCAAGAAAAAAAAAATCCAAATGACTTTTCAAGTTTTCCCTTTAAATTTGCAGAATGTCTGCTCCTTAGAGGGCTAACGAAATATAAAAATCAAAGCCTAAGTTTTAAATAACTCAAGCTTCCTTAAAAAAAAAAAGGGAACAAAGCAGAAATTTGGTGTTTTCCCCTCTTTTATACCAAATACTCAAATTCCCTCAAAGTCAGACAAGAAATTTCACTGCTAATACAGAAATGGCCATAGTTTCTGCCTTTTGGAACCCCATGCTTGCAGAGCCAAAAGCTTGTCTCTGAAAGACTGCAAATGAGCGCTTGCTCCCTCACACAGGGTGGAGGGGGACAGCAGTCCGTGAAGTCCAGAGCATATTCAGAGGCAACAAGGTCACTACTACCTGAGTGGACATGGGACAATACCAAGTATCACTTCTCATCCTGGCTCTCCCAACTCACTGAATGAGCTACGATTATTTGCCTGCACATTTATTAGGATACTAGAGGCCCAAAGTACAAAATTCATGCAAGGGTCTCAGCCCCTGCCACCTCTGTGGCTGCCTCTGCCTCAATCCTCCGTCCGGAAGGTCATCCGGTCTAATTAGCATATTACATTTTTATTATTATAGATATGCTAGTGTGCATTCTCAATTTTCCTATCCCTATAGTGAGATTCCATGTAGATTCAATAGAACAAAGACCAAAAATTATTTTAAATTCGTCATGGTTCCTGCATATGCACAGTGCTTGTTTTCACCATAGCTTCCCAGCCTCTCCAAAAATGCAGCCAAAACTCAGCCCGGAGTAGACAAGAGCTGGCTTGAGTTTCATTAGGGAATCTCTTGGAAAGGGAAATGGGCCAATAACCCTTTGAAAGCCGGAATCCAAAATAACTCTTCATATCACCCACTCCTGAACAGTACTGAAGCCTTGATGAGATAGGAGATACCAGTCTGCTCACATTATGCTTCCTAGTTTGGTCTAAAGTTCTTCAGGGCCTTAGAATACTTCTCTAACCGCTCAAGGTCAGGCCATGCATAAGGATTTTTGAAAGTCTTAATGTTCTCCAAGTATGTAAATACAGTATATATAGTGTATGTACAATCAACCAGACCTCATCTGCCAGATGCTACAGGCAATTAAATGTCATGATTAAGGAAAGCTTGCATCCTGGTTTTACCAGTTATTTACCATGGCACAATGGGCAAACTCTATTCTTCGATTTCTCACCTGTAAAATGACAATAACAGCTCCTACTCCTTAAGTGAGAGTGAAATGAGAGGACACACGTAAAGCACTAAGAGCAGTGTCTGGCACATAAGGGCTCAATAAATATTACCTTACTATTGGGATAATCTAAGATGGCTGCAGAATAGATGGACGCTACACTCACCTCCTCCCAGCACCAAACTGGATTACAACTAAATTATAGATCAATATTAGCTTACTGTTATTACTACTACCTTATTGGGCTATGCCCACCTGGTCAAACCTACATCCCTATACTTTGGGCCTATAAACCCACTGAATGCATAACACACCCTCAGAGAGTAACATTAATGTCTCCTACATCCTAGGATCTCTAGATCTCTCATATACAATACTATATATATGCTGATACCCTTCCATGGACAACATATTAATGGCCAGAGTTCCTTTTTCCGGCAGGTCTTGCTTTTCTCACCTGATTTCACCCACATCAAATAGTTTCTCTTGTAGGAAGTCTTGAGAGCAGACATTAGTAGACCAGGCCTCCACATGTCAGCAGTCACTGGGTTCTATACTTCCCTTACTTCTAAAAACCAAGTTCAACTCAAGTCAAGAAACAGAGGGCACCTCTTCCTCTTTCCTTACTGAAAAATTCAATCTAATGGCTTTAGGCAGGTGACAACAACAATTGGAATGGGGGAAGCAGAAGGGTCTCGAGGTTAGAATGAGAGTCCACGTAGGTGAGGAGAGCAAATGCAGGGAGGTGATGTAGCATGTCAGAGCCCATGTGAAGTGTGGAGGGCATCCACAGGGGAGTGGTGGAGGAGTCCAATGTGGTGAGTAATGGGTAGGGTAAAAAAGGCATCCAAGAGGGGGAAAGAGCAGTGGCAATGATGGGAGATTACTTATATAAAGAGGAATTAATTAAAGAAGGGCATATATTAAGGGTAATGGAAACCCCATTTCTCACTATTAGAGTATAGAATTAAAATATGGAAAAAGGAAAAGATAAATTTCTGATACATAATAAAAATAAAGCTAGATACAAATGTGAGTATGAATATACACACACAGGTACATATACAAATATATAAATACATGCATATATATTTCCTAGCTCTGCTGAAGGGCCAAGGAGCAGCAACACTCCAATAACAATGAACACACATAGCACCCAGTTGCCTTCTAAATAATACTCTCCAGAGCTCTTTGAGAAATAGCTAATTCCAGGGCTATGGTAGAGAAAGGGACAAGATGAACCTGGAATATCTTATGCCAGAAAGCAAGGAAATTCTCAATGATAGTAACATATCAAAAAGATGCAGAAGTCAGCTTCAAGGGGATCTGGCAAAATAAATAATGATATTAATAGATTATAATGAGCTAAATAAAAAGGAAACTATGACTTCATAAAGATATAAGTAAATAAATAAAATTCAAGTCTGATAAGGGATATTCACATAGTTTGGAAGTACCTCCCCACAGAATGTTTATTATAACAGGAAGTAAGCTTACAATGGGGAAGCCTGGCAGACATCACCGTAATCCACTGAACAAAATGAGCATCATTAATAATGGGATAAAGCAAAATCACGTACCACAAGATATAAGATGCAATGAGAAGAACAAAGCATCATTTCTGTGATATTCAAAGATGTATAACCTAAATATAATCATCAGAGAATATCAGAAAAACCCTAAATGAAGGACAGCCTATGATGTCCAAAAGTATCAAGGTCATGGCCCAGTTGACGTGGCTCAGTGGTTGAGCATCGACCTATGAACCAGAAGGTCACGGTTCGATTCCCAGTCAGGGCACATGCCCAGGTTGCGGGCCCGATCCCCAGTGTGGGTGTGTAGGAGGAAGCCAATCGATGATTCTCTCTCATCACTGATGTTTCTATCGCTCTCCCCCTCTCTTTTCCTCTCTGAAATAAATAAAAAATACATATATTTTTTAAAAATCAAGATCATAAAGGTCAAGGTATAGTTACTTAGGTAAGTCTAAAGGAGATTAAAGAGACTCGATAACTAAAGGCAATGCACAATTCTGAACTGGATCATTTTGCTACAAAGAACATTATTGGGACAACAGGCAAAGCTTGAATGGGGTTGAGGATTAGATGGAGGTAATGTTATCAATGTCAATTTCCTAGTTTTCATGATTGTATTTTGTTTAGGCAGGAAAATGTCCTTGCATTAGGAAATACATGCAAAGTATTCAGGGTGATGGGGCGTTAGATCAACAACATAACTCTCAAATGGTTCAAAAAAATTTCTTTGTATTAAATTTCCAACTTTTATGTAAATTTGGTCTATTTCAAACTTTTTAAAATTTATCTTTTAATCCATATGCAATGCTGTTTTAAAAAAGAAACCAAGAACAGACAGTATGTAAGGAAGCAATCTCCCCATACTGTCCATAGAAGGTAGGTTGCATGCTCTCCTCTAGTGGGGGAGCTGGCGAGACTCCATCAGAGCCCCCAGTTGGTGCCCCTCACTGGGCACTCCTGCCACCATTAGAGCCCTAAGTGCAGTGGAGCTTCACCTGCCCTCGTTTTCTCTGGCTTCTAGGGGTTTCTCTTTTCTATTGATGTCTTTATACTTTAGTCATAAGTTTGCAGAATATAAGTCTAGAACTTATATTATCAACTGGGACTTTGAGTATCTAGTTGAGGGGCAAAACGCAAAAGAAACAGTTTATGATTCTGTGTTTTTCTTCATACAATCTTTCATCAGAGACCAAGATTTATACCATTTATTCTCAGATATCCTTTTATTTCTCCTAGTAAATTAACAGTAGTAAGTAGCTTATGGTGAGGAGGAAAACGAATGATTCCCTTCTCAAAATGAAGGGACCAGCCCCCTAGGGGCAGGGGAGGGGTAAACAGGACTGCCACAGGGCTAGTCAGATTTGGAGAAACAGGCCTGAGCCACAGCCCCTGGAGGATGGTCTCTGTGCAGAGTATTTACACAACAGACACCAATGGCTCCT